TAGCCATTTCCCAATTGAAGGGCATCCTCTCAATTTCTAGTTCTTTGCTGCCACAAAGAAAGTTGCTATAAATATTTTAGGACATATAAGTTATTTTCCTTTTCCCCCAATCACCTTGGGAAACAGTCCCAATAGTAGTATTGCTGGGAACTTGGACATAATTCCAGATTCCTCTCCAAAATGGTTCCATCAGGTCACAGTTCCACTAACAGTAAATTAGTGTCCTAATTCTTCCACATCCCCTCCAATATGTCATTTTCCCTTTTTATTGTTTTAGCCAATCTAATGAGTGTAAGATGATATCTCAAAGTTATTTTAATTTGCATTTCTCTAATCAATAGTCATTTATAGAATTTTTTCATATCACTATATAGATAGTTTTGATTTTTTCATTGCAAAACTGCCTTTTCATATCCTTTGACCATTCATCAATTGGGGAATGAATCATATTCTTATAGATTTGACAAAGTTCTTTATATATTTGAAAAATGAGACCTTTATCTAAGAGCATGTCTATAAAATTTTCCCCCAATTTTCTGCTTTTCTTCTAATCTTGGCTACATTAATTTTATTTTTACAAAAACTTTTCAATTTAATGTAATTGAAATTATCCATTTTATACCTCACAATGCTCTCTATCTCTTGTTTTATTCACAAATTATTCTCCTATCCATAAGTCTGATGGGTAATATGTTCCATGTTCTTCTAATTTTCTTGTGATATCTCCTTTTATATCTAGGTCATGTATCCATTTTGACCTTATCCTGGTAAATGGTATAAGATATTGGTCTATGCCCAATTTCTGCCAGACTGCTTTCTAGTTTTCCCAACAATTTTTACCAAATAATGAATTGTTATCCTCAAAACTTAAAGTCTTCACTGGTTAAACACAAGGTTACTATAGTCATTTGCTGCTGTGTTATTGTATAGCTACTCTATTCCACTGACCTACCTTTCTTAGCCATTACCAGATAGTTTTGATAATTATTGCCTTATAATATAGTTTAAGATCTGGTACTGCTAAAACTCCATCCTTTACATTTTTTATTCATTTCTTTGATATTCTTTTGTTTTTTTTAAATGAATTTTTGGTATTTTTTCTAACTCAGTAAAATAATTTTTGGTAATTTAATTGTGATGGCATTGAATAAATAGGTTAGTTTAAGTAAGACTGTAATTTCTATTATATTGGTTCTGCCAGTGAACAATTACTATTTCTCCAATTATTTAAATCTGACTTTATTTGTATAAAAAGTGTTTTATAAGTATGTTCCTGAAGTTCCTGGGTTTGTTTTGGTGATTATACTCCCAGACTGTCTACAGTTATTTTAAATGGGGTATCTCTTATTATCTCTTCTCTCAGTGTTTTGTTGGTGATATTTAGAAATGCTGATAATTGATGTGTGTTTATTTTATATCCTGCAGCTTTGCTAAAATTATTAATTGTTTCAACTAACTTTTTAGTTGAATCTTTAGGATTTTCCAAGTGTATCATCATATTGCTTGCAAAAAAAAGATAGTTTTATTGCCTCATTGCTCATTCTAATTCCTTTTTCTTCTTTTATTGCTATTGTTAGCATTTCTACATAATATTGAATAATATTAGTGGTGATGGGCATTCTTGTTTCATTCCTGATTTTATTGCTTATCCCCACTACAAACAGTGCTTCCTGATGATTTTAGGTAGACACTTCTTATCATTTTAAGAAAATATCCATTTATACTTGTTTTCAAGTGTCTTTAATATGAATGAGTGTTATTTTTACCAAAACCTTTTCCTGCATCAATTGAAACAATCATATGATTTTTGTTGATTTTGTTATTGCTATAATCAATTATATTAATAGTTTTCCTTATGTTAAACCATTCCTGCATTCTTGGTATAAATCTCACTTGGTCAGAATGTATAATCTTTGTAATATATTGTTGTAGTATCCTACCTAGTATTTTATTTAGGGTTTTTGCACCCATATTCATTAATGAAATTGGTCTATATTTTCTTTCTTTATTATTACTATTAAGTGTTATCAGTCTCCAGATTGTTAACATTGTTCTTACAGTATCCTTTCAGCACTATGGTCAGGGGTACAGAAAGAAACAGAAAACTGAACTCAGTCAATACTAGAGCAAGAGTTGCTTGCAGTTGAGTTGTGCTGTTTGCCATTGGGGGCATATGGGGAATGGCATGTAGTATGATATTTGAGAAGATTATTATGCCTGTAGGCAGTTTGGAGGGAAGCCACTTCAGCTAGAAAAAGGTGCCATTTCATTGTCTGGGTTTCCCCAAGCAAAATTTCTCGAATGTTGGTATGTTGCCATGCTTCTTAGGTCTCTACCCCAGTGTAGCAGAAAAGCAGCCAGTGAAAAAAACTGTATGTGCATGTGCGTGTGTTTATATGTCACATCTCCAAATGTTTGGTGTCTTGTAGACACTTTTCACATCAGCTTCAAAGAGTCAGGGTCAAAAGGGGGGTCAGATGAGGAAGCCTTTTCAGAGGAAGCTTTGTCTGTGTATCTGACTTGATGCTTTTTCTGAGACTATTTCATCATTCTAAGTATTTTGAAAGCCCAGACATACTATAAAATATAAAGTATACTCTTACACCCAGGTAAGGACAAAAATGTTATCTCAAGCCAAATAAACTTTCAGTTGCCTATGATTTAATTTATAGAGTGAGAAAGGAGGTTACTGAGTGACCAGAAAGGTATGTAAAGTTGACTTGGAAAGTAGTATGAATAGGGCAGTAGCAAGAGTCTTGGATGTTAAAACAAAAGACCTGAGTTCAAATCCTGGCTTTACCACTGGTGGGATTTTCAACAGGCCAGTTAACCTCTCTAGACCTTAGTTTCTCCACCTAAAAATAAGGAGTTGGACTACCTAGTTTCTCAGATCCTAACTTTCTAACTTTATATTTTATGATTCTAAGGTTTTCAAACAGAGGACTGACTTGAACTACTCTATGCATACTTTAATTCTTGGATATGAAGTGAGACTCTACCCCACATATGGCATATGGGTATCATTATGTAGCCCCAAGGAAGGCAGAATAATCATCTTTTGCCTCTTTTCCCCAACTCTTATTGAAGAAATATTTTATTTCCTGCCAAGAAGGGAAGCAGGAGGGAGAAGAAAGAAGTTGGCCACTCTGCTCAACTCAGGGTGGGGAGGAGTATCATTGCTGATGGTTAATTAAATGTAAAAAAAAAATTTAACATTCATTTTTTAACATTTTGAGCTCCAAATTTCCTCTCCTCTTCCTTTCCCTTTCCCCTCCTTGAGAATATAAGCAATTTGATACAATTATACATGTGCAATGATGCAAAACATTTCCATCTTAGTCATATTGCAAAAGAAAACAAACAAAAAAACCCAACAAAACAAAGAAAGTTTAAAAAGTATGCTTCAATCTGCATTTTGACTCCATCAGTTCTTTCACTGAAGGTGGATAGCATCTTTCATCATAGGTACTTTGGAATTGTCTTGGATTATTGTATTGCTGAGAATAGCTAAGTCATTCACATTTGATCTTCATACAATATTGCTATTACTGTGTACAGTGTTCTGGTTCTGCTCACTTCACTTTGCATCAGCTCATGTGAGTCTTTCCAGGTTTTTCTAAAAGCATTCTGCTCATCATTTCTTGCAGCAAATAGTATTCCATCAGAATCATATACCACAACTCGTTCAGCCATTCCCCAATTGATTGGCATCCCCTCGATTTCAATTCTTTGCCACCACAAAAGGAGCTGCTGTAAATATTTTTGTACACATAGGTCCTTGTTCTTTTCCTTTTCCTTTTCCTTATATCTGTTTGAGATACAGACCTAGTAGCGATATTGCTGGGTCAAAGGGTATGCACAGTTTTATAGTCCTGTGGGTATAGTAACAAATTGCTCTCCAGAATGGTTGGATCAGTTCATAATTCCATCAGTAGTGCTTTAGTGTCCCAACTTTCCCATATCTCCTCCAACATTTGTCATTTTCCTTTTTTGTTACATTAGCCAATCTGATAAATATGAGGTGATACCTCAGAGTTGTTTAAATTTTCATTTCTCTAATCAATAGTGATTTAGAGCATTTTTTCATACAATTATAGATATTCTTGATTTCTTCATCTAAAAACTGCCTGTTCATATCCTTTGACCATTTATCAATTGGGGAATAACTTGTATTCTTATAAATTTGACTCTGTGGTTCAATGATCTTAGAAAACATGGATAGACTTGCAAAAAATATTTCATAGGGAACCATTTCCTTCTTCCTTATTGCCTATTGACATACTAATAGCTCACTATTCCTACCCCACCCTACCCGTTCCACCTCCTCTCCAACCTCACCTTGCATCCGAGTTCAAAGTCCTTTTGAGTCTCACCCAAAGCCCCATACTCTTTTCCTCTGTAATAACCACAGGGAATTCAGAAACTTAGCACTTAAGTATAATACAGAATTTTACATTTGATAGAGGACCTTATCATCACAGCTCCATATGCTTGTATTACTACCTTCGAGGGCACTAAGATCCAGTACAGTGTCTTTTTTGATCTCAGTGCACACGTTGGGATGTAATAGTCTCCAAAATTGTCCTAGCAATCCATTCTCCTTCAAATTAAACTTCTCTCATACAGCAGCTGGGGCCCCAAGCTTCACAGTGATACTCTCTCTTTCTTTCCCATACAAAGTCATTTTTTCTTCCATTCTGCACCAAAATCTCTAATGCTTAAGGGATGGGGGAGGGAGGAGTCTTGGAAAATGAGCAGGATTTTTATGTTCATTGAGATAGTGAGGCCATCCCAGATTGAAGGGGAATGGATTGAGCAAAGGTATGGGAAACATAGAGTATATTCAAAAAATGAGAAGTCCTATGTGCAATCAGAAAAGTGCTTGTTCCTGAACATCCTTCAGTACCACCTCTGTCTAACTATAAGTGGAACTATGAACTGTCTGAAGAATCCATAGGTAACTGTTCTGGTGCCTCTGTCACCTTTTCTGTGTTTTCAAGGCCTGAAGTTTGATGGAACGGAAGCACCATTGTACAAGGTCAGTATCATTATCCCTCCTCACCTCCTATAGCACCAAACCCTTTTATCTCTTTGTCTCTTGCCCTCTTCCAATGTTTCCTCTTATCATCTACTCACCAGCCTCAGCACTAAAGAAAGCCAAATTCCAAGTTGACTATTCAGATATGAACCAAGTGGCTTTGAAGATTCAGAAGGCATTATGTATCTAGATTTCCAGTGAGTGTGGGATGGGGTACAGCAACTTCCAGCCTCCAAGCTACTCCATCGACCCATAGCCTGCACAAGAACACTCTGGGTATTTGCCCATCTCTTTGGAAGGAGATTGTCCAAATATAAAATTTAGTGTCTGTTTACCTCACCCCCTCAGGTCACCCTGAAGGCCTTATTAGGAACCCTGAACACTCTTGCTGATACTCCAGACAGTGAGGTGCTGGGTAGAGGACAGAAGCAGCTGACCATATTGACCCCTTCCCAAAATCGCCTGAATTTCATCCTACAGCATGTGACATACACCAGCACTGTCTACCAGTCAGGAGCTGTGGACATTGGTGAGAGCCCATCACTTCATGGCAGAACCCTTTGGGAGATAAAAGACACTAGTTAGGGCTCTCTCAGAGACTATCTCCTTGAAGAAATATTTATCAATCTAAGTAGGTAGAGAGAGGGGATAGTTTTTCTTTTGCTTGTGTGTCATGCTATACCTGTATTGCAGATGGCTCTTTCCACTTCATATTGTCTATGAGGTGTAATGCTTACAGATCAAACTCTAGAAAGAAAGAATTATGATATCTTTGAAGATCAGCCAAGGTGGGAAGGGAGCATTCTTACATCTTCCTGTTTGGTCCCTAGTATATTACAATGTTCACTAATTTTTGAACCACACCTGTGATTTCACTGGCCTAGGGAATGCCTGGAAAGAGCACTCCTATTCTATGACATGGTCTTTGAGAATTACCTGAAGAATTAAGAGGTTAAGTGACTTCCCCAAGGTCACAAGTCAAAAAGAGACAGAAACGAGATTTAAAACCAGATGTTCTTATTCCTGAGGCTACCTCACTATCCATTGTACCACAATGCTTATCAGACTCACTAATATCCTGAATTTCCATGGTTTCTTTCCATAGAATACTTAGACTTCTATGACCTTAGCTGTAATTTTGGAGGGAGAGAGAAGGCATGGAATTGATGTATACCTTTTATTGAGTGCAGCCTTATGTTGAAAAAGAGTCCCTTATCTCCAGGTGATCCCAGTCTGACATGGCCCAGATAGAGAAACAGATATACATAGAATGATGCTTAAGGGTAGATTGTAGGCATGAGTAAGAAAGGGATGATTCTGCTATGATCTATAGCACAGACCTATAGAAGTTAAGCCATCCTCTCAAGGTCATAAGACAAATTAAGGACAAAGTGAAGCTAGAAGTCCTGAATCCCAGACATGGGCTAACTCTTCATACCTTCTGTTCCCTTACCAATCAGGCTTCCCTGAACAACAGTAGAAGGATTCTTCTCCCCAAGGCTAAAGAAAGAGACCTTACACTGATCCCCTCTTTCTCCTTTCAGTGAGTATTGAATTTGGGAGCTCAGTGGCTAAGTTTCCTGTGAATATCAACCAGCCCACTATCCCCAAGTTGTTTGACCCTGGGCCAGGTAAGTCCTTTGTCTATTTGACTCCACGGAGATAGTAGAGTAGCACCCCAGAAATGACTTGAAAATATTCTAGTTTATGTGGTTTAAATATCTAAACTCATTTACAGGTTGCTATTCATCTTCAGTTTTATTATTTCATTTATGATTTTTTTTATTGATCTATTAATCTCCAGTCTGCTAGATGGTAGAGGTTACAAAAGCAAAAGAGGAAATAATCCCTGCCTTCAGGGAACTTACATTCAACACATAACGTGAATATGTCATGGGGAGTAAAGGGAACATGGGAGACCTCACAAAGTGCTCTAGGTCTGTTTGAAGAAAGAAATAACATTAACATCTAGGACAATCATGGAAGGCCTCCAGGTTGAGGTGTCACTTGGCTGAATTTTAAAGAATGATAAGGAAGGAATATGAAGGATGCAAGTTGGAAAAGATTGCATTCCAAGTATAGGGACTGGCTTGTGCAAATGCTTGGGAGTAACAGTGGCATGCTACATGCAGGGAACGGCTAGTAGTCCATCTCAGCTAAAACACAAAGTACATGAAGGGGAAAGAATATAGAAAAAGGGGCTCAGGGAAGAGCTTTGAAGGATACTCAAACTTGTGAGGGAAGGAGATGAATGGTTTAGTAGATAGAATACTGTAGGTGGGGTCAAGAAGACCTGAGCTCAAAACCTGCCTCAGACACTTGCTAGCTGTTTGACCTTGGGCAAGTCACTTAATCTCTCTGTGCCCTCATTTCCTTATCTCTAAAAATAATAGCACTTACGTCCCACAGTTGTAGTGGGGACCAAATGAGTTAGCGTGTATAAAGTGCTTATTATTGCTTTTGTTGTTGTTATTCAGCAAAGGAGAATGATGAATGGTCAGAAAGGCAAGGGGACAAAAAGCAGAGGGCAGTCACAAAAGTCAAGTGAAGAGGGTATATCTATGAGATAGGGGTAGTCAAATCTAGGAGCATGAGAACCAAAATAGGCCATCAGAAATTAAAAAGTTATTGGCTTCTCCAAATAGATAAATGATCAAAGGAGAGAAAAAGCATTTCTTGAAAAACTTGTGTATTATTAATAATCACATAAGAGAATGCTCCCAATTACTAATAATGAGGAACTCACATTAAAACAACTTTCATATTTGACCTCACAACAGCAAATTGGTATAGATGACAAAAGATAGGAATAGTCAATGTTGGAGGGGTTGTAGAAAGACAGGCACTCTAGTGCATTACTGGGGGAACTGTATTTTGGTACAGCCCATTCTGGAAAGCAATCTAGAATGATGCAAAAAAAGTGACTAAAATGTCCATATCCTTTGATCCCAAGATTTCACTGTTAGACATATACCCCAAGGAGGTCAATGACAAAAAGAAAGGACCCAAATACATGGTAGCAAAGAACTGGAAAGTAAATGCCCACCAATTGGGGAATGGCTAAATAAACTATACATAATACATTCATGTAATGAAATGTTACTATGCTGTAAGAAATAATGAATATAATTAATACAGATATACAGAAAGACATATGAACTGATGCAAAGTGAATTAAGTAGATTCAGGAGAACAATATACACAATGACTACAATATTGTAAATAGAATGAATAATAACAAAAAGACAATCAACATTGAAAACTGCAGAATTATAATAATCAAACTTGGCCCCAAAGAAGAGATATGAGAAGGCACCTTCTTCCCTTGCTTCTTTGTAGAAATGGGGGACCATGAATGGTGGGATACTGCATAAAATGTCAGACTCTTTTTCATATATTGTTTAGTTTTGCAACTTTTTAGTGATTTGCCCAAGGTCACCCAGCTAGTCAGTGTCTGGGGCCTGATTTGTGCTCAGGTCTTCCTGACTCTAGGCTCAGCACTCTCTCCACTGCACCACTTAGCTGCCCCATTCTTCCTTTAGCTATATTTCATTATAAAGGATGATGGGGCACTGAGGGGAAGAGGAAGAGACCACCAACAAGTCTTTATGAAGCTCCTACTATGTACTAGGCACTGTGCTAGGCACTGGGCTCCTGACTCTCCAAGAGCTAATATTCTAATGGGGAATTTTAAAAAGGTCTGTGTAAAGTCACACTTGACCTGAGCTTTGAAGAAAACTAGTGATTCTAAAAAGAGTAAGTGAGAGGGGAAGCCATTCCAGGCATGAGGGACAGCCAATGCAAAGGTATGGAGATGGAAGATGGATATTGTGTGAGTAAGGACAAATCCAATGGTCTTTCAACTATCCCATCACAGCAGGATGGAGGTTATTGAAGAGATGTGCAGCAGAGGAATAAGAAAAAACATTGAACTCCCTATCTTTTTCCTTCTCCAGAGAGGGAGCTCAGGAACCTGGTGACCATTGCTACTAAGACTTTCCTTCGTCCCCACAAACTCCAGATTTTACTTAAGAGTATTCGGAAGTATTACCCAGATGTGACTGTGATTGTGGCTGATGACAGTGAAAAGCCAGAGAAGATTGATGATATTTATGTGGAGCATTACATCATGCCCTTTGGAAAGGTACAGATCCAAGGCACCAGACCCTTGGATCCTCAAGAGCTACAGCCCCAAATCCCACCATGGATATAGCTGCCTTTATGAGGAAGTAGAAGGTTAAGGTTATAGAGATAGAAGGAGCTGAAGACTATTTCTAACCTTGAGTCCTAGTCCTTTTCTTCCTCTGCCCAACCTTCATAGTCTGAGTAAAACATCACTCCCAAATCTACACTGATGTGGCTAATCTTTTCTTGGTCTGTAGAATTCATTTTGGTCTAGGTGTTTGACTAATGTTTTGTGTATTCACAACCCATTTAATCCAAGTCTAAAGAGATGCTGGGAAGACCTGTGTCAGGGAAGCAAGATGGAAACCTGACTAATTTCCATTGTTTCCCTCTCACTCTATTCCTTTTCCTCCCTGCTGACAATGGATGGCATCATTACTTTCTTGGACATAGCTCCAACCTTAGCAGTTACCCTTTCTCTAAGCTCAAAGGCCAGCCCATACCTTCCCCTGGGCTCTGAGAAGAGTCAGAAGGATTTGGGGATGAAAGAACCCTCCCCCAAAGGAACAGAGAATCCATGTATCAGATTATCTACCATATACAATCCTTACAGTTCTTTTTTTTAGCTAGACTTTTCTTCTTTTTTATTTTTTAAAATATTTAAATTTTCCCAATTACATATAAAAATGCTTAACATTCATTAAAAATTTTTTTTGAGTTCCAAATTCTCTCCCTTCCCTACCCCTTCATTGAGAAGGCAAGCAATTTGATGTAGGTTATGCATGTTCAGTCGTGCAAAACATATTTCCATATTAGTCATGAAAAACAGACCAACCCTCCCAATAAAAATAAAATTAAAAAAATACTTATTTCAATCTGCATTCCTACTCCATCAGTTCTTTCTCTGGGGTGGAGAGTATTTTTCATCATAAGACCTTCAGAATTTTCTTGGATCATTGTATTGCTTAGAATAGCTAAGTCATTCACAGTTGATCTTCATACAATATTGCTGTTACTGTGTATAATGTTCTCCTGGTTCTGTTCACTTCACTTCATATCAGTTCATATAAGTCTTTCCAGATTTTTCTGAAAGCATCCTACTCATTATTCAAAAAACATTTTTATTCATTTTAAACTTAAATACAAAACAAGAAAAGAAAAAAAGAACATTTCCATGTACACAGCAGAACATGAGAGGATTCAATATAAAATGATAAATTTCTATTTCTCAAAAACCTATGTCATAAATCCTACACATTGTTTTCAAAGCAACCCAGCTCTTCTGTGCTTCCTTCTAGGTTTTCTTTTGTTCTCTGCTGTGTGCTTTTTATTCCTCTCTCCTCACCCAAGCTACAATTGAATGTGAATATATATACACCTATACATATAGGGGTATATATTATGAACATACACTCATGTACATATAAATATATGTAAGACTACACTATGCATATTTCTATTTGTCAGTTCTTTCTCTAAAGGTGAATAGCACCTTCCTTCATAGGTCCAAGTCTTTCCATATTTTTTTTAAATCAACCAGATCATCATTTCTTATATCACAACAGTAGTTCATCACTATCATATCCTGTCCAAGAGATTATCTATGAAAATCCTTTCTCAATTTTCTGCTTCCCTTCTAACCTTGGCTACATTGGTTTTATTTATATAAGAAGCTTTAAATTAAAATAATTGAAACTACCCATTTTACACTTCAAAAGTGCTCTCACTTTATAATATAGTTTAAGATCTGGTACTGCTGAATCTTCTTTACATTTTTCCCCATAGTATCTTTGAAATTCTTGACCTTTTGTTCTTTCAAATGAATTTTGTTACTATTTGTTCTGACTCAGTAAAAGAATTTTTAGCAATTGGGGTGGCATTGAGTAAATAGGTTAGGTAAAGTTGTCATTTTTTATTATGTTGGCTTTACTTACCTATTAGCAGTTATGGCTGTTTCTCCAATTATTTAAATCTGACTTTATTTGTATAAAGAGTGTTCTATGTTTATGTTCATGTAGCTATCTATAGTTGGGTTGGGCTAGATATCCTCTGATGTCCCTTCCAGCTCTCCATCTCTGATCCTATGATTTTTTTTTCCAGCTCAGTCAATGTCCAGTACCCAAACTCTGCAGTCATCATCCCCATCTCCAGGCTTTCTTTTGGAACCTGAGCTTGTGACTCATGTGCCCTCTCATTCACAGGGTTGGTTTGCTGGCAGAAATTTGGCTGTGTCTCAGGTCAGCACAAAGTATGTGCTGTGGGTGGATGATGACTTTCTTTTCACAAAAACAACCAAGATTGAGGCACTGGTAGATGTCCTAGAGAAAACAGAGCTGGATGTGGTAAGAAATATTTACTATTTTATCCCTACCCTTCCACTGAAGTGGGAGTGGGGTGCACAATGTGGAAGGTGGGTGAATTTAGCTAGCTTTGGCTTGGCGGTGAAAACCCTAGATTGAAGGTGGGGTTAGAAGAACTGGGTGTGAGTCCTTATTTCACCACACACTTATCTTAAGATCTTGAGAGACTAATTTAACTTTTCTGTGCCTCAGTTGTTCCATCCCTAAAATGAGACGATAGAGCATCTGCCCTAGCTACCTCACCTGAATGGGATGTGGATAAATTCTTTTTAATTCAGCAAGCATTTATCAAGTATCTACTATATGCCAGGTACTGTCCAAGACTGGAAATACAGACAAAAACAAAATGGCCCTGGCCTCAAGAAGCTTATATTCTATTTAGAGGAAAATACTATGCAAACATATAAGTAAATAAAATTTATATACTGAGAGATTTTCAAGGAAAGGGACAGGTATACTATAAAGGACATTTTGTTAAGAATAAAACAGTGATTTCAAAGGGCATGATGGAAGGGTAGAGAAGATAGGAATAGGGCTGACATGGATGAAGATGAGGGGGCAAGAAGTATTGATCAGGGTTTCAGCATAGACAATCTAGCCATGAAGAAGTGGATTATTATGACTTTCAGAATAGTGTTGAAAATGTTGATTTGATTATCAATTCTTAAGAAAGAGGTGGAAGAGGGTAGGGTTAAGGACAAAGAGTAAACACACAGCAACAGGGGAGCTGTCCAGTAACCATGGACATGCCTAATAGTCAAGACAGAAGTTGATGGAGTCTGAAATCAGATTGGCTATGGAGGTGTGAGGCATATTTGAGGTACTCATCTAATTCAGGTCAGCTCTGCCCCAGGATTCACTCCTGTGAAGGAGGGGAGGGATGGGACAGTAGCTGGATCGGGTGGAAAGGTCAAAGGAAAGGATTGGGAAGACTTGAACATGCAAGATTTGGAAGGAAGTTAAAGGGAATGGCATTATGGGTGCTAGTAGAGGAATCCAAGTTAATGAGGACACACATCTATGACTAAAGAAAAAGACGAAAAAGGGTCATGACGCCTGAAAGTTTTAAGGCAAAGGTTCTTAACTTTTTCTGTTATGTCCCCCTTTGGAAGTTTAGTGAAACCTCTGGATTCCTCAGAATAATGGTCTTGGGTGCAGTGGATATAGTACTGGCCCTGGAGTCAGAAGGACCTGAGTTCAAATCCGGCCTCAGACACATAACACTCACTAGCTGTGTGACTCTGAGCAAGTCACTTAACCCCAATTGCCTCATATGAAAAAAAAAGAATAATGGTTTTGAATGCATAAAATAAAATAAATAGAATTATAAAGGGAACCAATTATGCTAAAAGAGTCATTAAAGTATTTTTAAAAATAAGTTCTAGGTCTTCAGGAAAAGAATATTTGTTCAAAAGAATGGACAAGGGGAGGATGCTCAGGAAGGTCATAGAATATGGTTTAATCTTCTAATTGAAATAGAGGTTAAATCATTGCTCTAAGTATGTGGGGGGATGGGGAAGAGTGAAATTAAAGGCAAAAGGAGTGCAAAGGTTTTGGAACATTTACTAAGGAGAGTGGTCAAGGGAATCAATTTGGGGAACATAGTGTAACATCTGTTTCACTGTTGAAACAGATATTGCCATAGAAAGATCATAAAAGAGGTTTCAGTGGAGGCAATGGACCATTAGCAATGTTGGCCTCTAGGTACCATAGGGCCATAGGGCACAGAGCACTGGACCTGGAATCAGGAGGACCAGCCTCAGATACTAGCTGGGAGACCCTGGGCAAGTCACTTAACCTCTAGCTGCCTCAGTTTTTTCATATGTAAAATAATAGTAATGAGAGCACCTAACTTTTAGGGTGGTTATAAAGATAAAATGAGATATTTGTAGAGCACTTTGCAAGCCTTAAAGCACTATATAAATGCTAGCTATGATGATGATGATGATATCACTACAGCATCAGGTATACAAGATACCTTTCACTACCTTGGACACCTTCTAACACACAATATTATGAAGAGTCCAGGGACCCAAGCACCTCCATAACTTAGACCGAAGTCTTACCTGCTTCATTCCCTGCCTCTTTTCACATGGTAGTACTCTGGCAAGTATTGTAAAGGTCTTATCTCAATTACGTCAGAAAGTTTCCACTGCTTCTTCCAGATTAAATACTCTAGCTCAAGATATACCAAGAAGAGATAAAAACATTGATGACGCATACTCCCAATGCAAAACCATATCCTCCCCCTTCCACAAAAAACAATTCCATTGAATTTCCTTCCCTGCTGTGCTAATGCAGGCTTGTGTTACAATCCATTTGGGTTTGCTGAGAACCAGAATGGATAAAGAAGTGTTATGGTGGGATAAAGATACTGAGAAATTACATCTAAACGATGACTTATTTAGTAATACATGAAGTTGCAGAAACAAATCAGATCCAAGGCTCTCAGTCCACCAAGGACATCGACCATTGGTTTCTCCAAGTTAATATATGATTTGGAGGGAGTGAAAGATATAGAGATTGAGATACCTGGTTTCTTATTGATGGAGGGGATTGGTAGAGGGAACAGTGAGATGAGAGAGAAATGATTGGTTTTGTGACGTTCCTTAAATCAAGTGACCTTTAGAAGGGGGTTATGACTTCTCCAAAATCACGAGACTTACAAGCAGCTAAAACTTAGCTTCACAAAATGGTGGATAAAGACAAAATGGAGTCACTAATGCTGTTTTAATGTAACAGAAAGGAGGCCAACCTGAACAAGACTGACAATGGGGTCAAGGTAGCATGGTGTAAGCCAATAAGTCACCAAGTATTTATTAACCTCCTACATGTGCTGGCACTGTGCCAAAGCACTAAAAATATAAAGAAAGACAAACAAACAAAAAAGCCAGTCCCGGGTCTCAAGGAACTCACAGTCTAATGGGGATGACAGCAAGCAATTGGGTCTGCACAAATGAAATCCTTTCAGAACAAATTAGAGGAAATCAACAGAGGAAAGGTACTAGCATTAAGGAACAGCAGGAAAGGCTTCTTGCTACAGATAATAGAGCTTGCTACAGAGCTAGGAGCCATGGAGAGAAACTACAAAGAGGAAAAGTTAGGCTTGGTATTGGGATAACCTTCCAATTAGAGCAGTCCAAAGGTAGAATGTAATGAGCTATCTCAAAGGTAGTAAGTTCTCCATCAATATAAACTTTTGGACAGAAGCCTTGGTGACTGCTTGTCAGAGATGCTATAGAGGTCATTCCTGCTTAGGTGAAGAGTGGAGTAGGTACTGTCTGAGCTCTCCCCAAGCCTTGAGATTCTATAATTCTGTGGTCCCTGGAGACCTTGGAACTTTGTCCCTGTAGCTCAGACTGGGGGTACTAAGATAGTCCCCGGGGGCTGAAGCTGAAAAGCAATTACCAATGGTCTGGAGTTGGTTGTAGCAACAGAAAAAAAAAGTTTTTGCTTTTCTAGAGGGAAGATATGGGCTGTAGAAAGGGAAGTGATGCAGTGAGAGGAAGAAAACTGAGGGGCCTTGGAGTATAGTGACAGGTGGGTAGGTAGGTAGAATCATAGGAGAGGAAGGAAGACAGGGTGGGAGTGGGGAATAATTCAACATGGGAATATCACACAAGAAAGTTTCCCGAGAGAGGCAAACTGGTTATTGAATCAGATGTATATTTTCTCTGATCTCTTCCCCTACCCCTTCCCAGGTTGGTGGCAGTGTGTCCGGGAATGTATTCCAGTTTAAGCTATTGATGGAACAAGGTGAGGATGGGGACTGCATACACAAGAGGTCAGGCTACTTCCATGCCCTGGAAGGCTTCCCCAGCTGTGTGGTGACCAGTGGTGTTGTCAATTTCTTCTTGGCTCACACTGAGAGCCTCCAAAGAGTTGGATTTGATCCCCGACTACAGAGGGTGGCACACACAGGTAAGAGGGCTGCATGGGGAGACTGAGATGTCACCTCAGATTAAACCACATTTGGCAGCTTGTTCACCATCTTTTATTACAAACAGAGGCAGTTTTCCAAAGTATTCCAATTCAAACTAAAGCAGTGTCATGTAGTAGAAAGGGCATCAAAATTGACATCAGGAGGATTTGGATTCAAATCCCACCTCAGACACTAGCAAGGTGACCCTGGGAAAACCTTTAATCTGTCAGTCCTCAGTTTCCTTATCTGAAATATTGAAGGTAAGGGGGTGGGTTGAACAATGACATCTAAGTTTCCTTCCAACTCTAAACCTATAATCCCATGATTTTTCATTTCCCTCTTCACCCTTTCTCATTCTGAGTCTTGACAATGTTTTCCATCCTGGGACACTCTCTATCCTCCTCTCTGACCAATCCACATCTGGAATACTATATCCAGTTTGGTTTGCATTTCAAAAAGGACATTCAGAAGTGGAAGTATATCTATCTTGCCCTTCCCTCTGAACCACCTTCTTTCAGAAAGTCTTCCCAGGCTCATGACATTCAAGTTCACTACTCATTTCCATCTGGTCTCCATTTTTCCCTTTCCCATTCCTCAGGTGTAATGCATAGTGCTCTGTCCAACAAGAAGTATCTATTCATGTCTGTCTCTAGGTCTGTGTTTGTCAGTGGCTTATATCCGACTTCCCTCTTCAGACTCGGGAGATTCTTGAGACAGAGAGAGAAAGAAAGAGGAGAGGAAGAGTGAGGACATAGGGGAGGAGAAGGGGAAGAATGAGGAGAGACAGTACTTTCTCTCTAGGAGCTTACACCTCAAAGGTGGGAAGAATAAGTATAGGAGGCTGTGTCTTGCCCTCAGAAGGAGAGATCCCTGAGAACAGAACTGTGTCTCACCCTTCTCATGGAATATTTCCCAGGGTTCTGCATAGGGTTCTGGTAAAACAAGTGTTAATATGGGTTGGGAACTGACCACAGGGCACAAAGCTCACAGGATCTCCTCTCTCTATTTCCCCTCCCTTAACAGAGTTTTTCATCGATGGGCTAGGGAGTCTTCATGTTGGATCATGCTCAAATGTGGTTGTGAATCACCAGCCCCGCACCCAATCTTCTGACTCAGATCAAGCTACCCTGGAAAAAGCCTACAGTCGGTTCCGAACTAACACTCAGGAACAGGTCAAGTTCAAGTTGTCCCTCCATTACTTCAAGAATCATCTCCAGTGTTACACTCAGAAATGAAGTTATGGATAATGTGGAATGGGCCAATGAGACTCTTACATGTAACTTACCTCCAATCAATAGGAAAGAGGGTATGGAATGGACTACTCAGTAGTGAAATGGCTGGAGTTGGCAGCTAGAAAGATAAATTAGTTGATTTACAAAAAGAACCATGGAATGGGTGATTTGGTAGGAAGGACAATTAGGTTAAGATCAATTTTTGGTTAGGGCTATGAGCCTACCAGTGGTCAAGGTAATATGGAATATAACAACAATAATATTGACACATACATAGAGTTTTAATATTTATGAAGTTTTTTACCTACAATAATACTGTGAGATATACAGTGAAAGTATTATCATACCTATCTTATACATGAGCAAAATGAGGATCAGATTTGCTGAAAGCCATAGTTACCTTTCCTTTGAACCACATCAGACTTGTTTATAGAATTATTGACATGTCAGCCATAACGGTAATACTAATAACAGTACTTCATAACATAGAGGTTCTAAGAATCCTTTTTAGAAAATATGGAATAACTGCAACAGAATATTAGTGTGGGCACTGGCTACATGGCCCATGTTTACAACATTCCAGTAACCCAACTATGTTGGTATAGAGGTTGATATAATATTCATTGAGCACAATTTGAGACACTATAATAATTTTATGTAGTAAAAACAGTTTTTATCGTATTTAATAATTCATCAAGCAATGGCTTCTTCTTGAAAGAATATTAGTAATTATATACATACTTTTTAAAAAATCAGCTGAAAGTATCCTTGTTATTCTTAAGAAATTTTTCAATGATCCCAAGTCAAGATGTGGTTTTTATACAAAGTCACTTTGATTTTCCATGATCCAATTTCCAAAATGAAGTAGCAGGATGCTGGATGCTCTTAGCACAAGAAGCCATGTGTGAATCTTTGTCCTTGTATCGTGACTTAGGAGAAAGAAACAACTCTATGTTTTTGCTACTCTAACTAAAGAGAACTGAGGAAGGAATTTGCTAACAATGGGGATGATCATTGATTGTGATTTGGACCTGGTATAGCAATAGTGGGAGAAATCTCCATTTGTCATCTGGATCATCTAGAATAGAGGTCTTAACCTTTCCCATGTTTCATGGACTCCTCTGATGGTCTGGTGAAACCTATGGTTTTCTTTTCATAATAACATTTTTAAATGCATAAAAGAAAACATGCAGGATTATAAAGAAAACCAATCATATTGAAATACAGCTATTCATTTTAAAAAAATCTCTGGACCCCCAGATTAAGACCTCCTATTCTAGACTTTTCAAGTACAACTCTTGAGAGCTTCTCTCAGTTATTCTAGATTCATGAGAGTGTGGGGGGTGAAAGGATTCCTTAATCCAGGAAGACATGGAATCTTTTTAAAGTTGTTTTTCCTATTTGGTTCTATGATGACCTTCTTAAAGAGTTTTTAATTCTTAAATTATATCTTTAATTTAAAAAAAAACTTTAGGCAAATAAGTGGTTGCCATACTTTTAAATAAAGTCCACAGGCTTTTACAAGATCTTTTAGAAAAAGCAAAAGAACTTTGCCCTTAGACCAATAAAAAACAATTTCTGCTGCCTTGTTCCCTCAAAGAATTGGCTACTGAGGCCTTCTATTATCCTAGAAGGAGATACTCAGTACTGGGTACTAAGCTCTTAAGAACAAAAAGCAGGAACTCCTAGTTATGGTGATGAAGCCAAAGGTCATGAAGGAGCCAAGGTTCTCCACATTCACTCCAACAAAAATGTAGAAGAGCACCAAATCAAACCATAATTGAGACCAAACAGTAAATAAGCTTCTCTACCCAGTCCAGGACTGCAGAAAAAGATGTCCAGAAGCATAGGATGCTGGGAGAGGGGTGTTGCCAGGAGAGGTGGAAAGCAGCATGAGCCTATGGTAAAGACTCTCTGAACAGTAGCAGCATTCAGACCACAGAAAGAACAGGACCAAACAAAAGTATGTATCCCTCATCTAAAAGTACAGTCAGCAGTTGAGTTGGCACATTGGCATGAAGACCCAATACAGGAACTAAAGCTGGAAAAAAAATGAGTAAAGAGAAAATACCAAACACAATGAAGAAATACTATGAGTTAAGAACAGCCCAAGAGGCATGCATACCCAGGAGAAGAGAGTAACTCCATAAAAAGTACGTGTAGAACCTCATGGGGAAAAATGGCTTGGCCACAAGGACTACAGAAATTGCCATAAAAAAAGATTAAAAAATGAAATCAGAATTTCAAAAAGAAGTCTAGAGGAAAACAGCAACATATAAGACCAAAATTCATTCTCCAATAGCTGTGGCCAGAGGATGTGAACAAAACAGTTCTCAAAAGAAGAATTAAGAATTAACAGCCATATGAAAGAATGCTCCAAATTACTAATAATAAGAGAATGAAAATCCCCCCCCTAAAAAAAGCCACTAAACACCAGGATTTTACCTCATAACCAGAAAATTGGCAAAAGTTAACATAAGATGATGGGAATAGTCAATGTTGGTGGAGTTGTGGAAAGTTGAACATCCTAAAGCGTTATTGGAGGATCTGTAAACTGGTTCAACCATTCTAGAAAGCAATTTGGAGTTTTGCAGAGACAGTCACTGAAAGTCTATACCTTTTGGCCTAGAGATTCCACTCTTAGATTTCACATACTCCAGGATGATCAATGACAAAAAGAAAGGACCAGAAATATTTATAGCAGATATATTATGATAGTAAAGAATTATAAACAAAGTAGATGCCCACTGATTGGGAAATAGCTAAGCAAATTATGTTCATAAATGTAATGGAATAGTACTGGGCTTTAAGAAATGATGACAATGTTAAATATAGAGAAACAGAAGAAGACTTACATGAACTGCTACAAAGTGAAGCAAGCAAAACAAGGAAAACATGAACTGATACAAAGTGAAGCAAACAAAACAAGGAAAACAATAAAACAATGACAACTATCTAAATATAGAGAATGACTGCAACAACAAAATCAAAAATGAATATTTTAAATGAAATTATAATGCCCAAGCTTGTCCCTAAAATAGAGATATAAGAAGATACATTTCTTCATTTCTTTACAGAGGTTGGGTATTAGGGGTGTGGAATTTTGCATATAATATCAGATTTCTTTATTTGTTTAGTTTAATTGAAGTTTTTTCTCCTCTTTTTTTTTTTTTGTTCTTTATCATAAGATATGGCTCTTTGTGTAGGGGAGTGAGGGGAAAGATATGCTGGAAAATCTAGGTGATATGAAAACAAAGGAACTCTCAAAAAATATTTCATAGTGCCAGAAAAAAAATAATGAAATTCATATTGAGAAACAAAAGGTAAAGAATATCAAGAGTAACCTTTTTTACAAAAAGCAGAAAGGAAATAGGTCTACCAGTACCAGATTTCAAGCTGTATTTCAAAGAAGTAATCATTCATATAATTTGATAGTGGTAGAGAAAGACAGAGAAACAGAAAGACAAAAAGAGAGGTTGATCAGTGGAACAGACTAGTTTTGAATAATATAGAAGCAAACAAACATAGTAGCATAGTGTTTGATAAACCTAAAGACCTCACTTGTGGGGGAAGGACTACTATTTGATAAAAACTGTTGAGAAAATTTGACTGCAACCTGGCAGAAATTAGCTTTAGACCAACACCTTATACCATACACCAAAAAAAGCTCCAAGTAGATACGTGACATAAGAGGTCATATCACAAACAAATTGGACAAGAAAGAAATTACCTCTCAACTCTGTGAATAGGAGAAAAGTTCAGGACTAAATAGGTGATAGAGACAATCACACAAGATAAAATGGACATTTTTTATTTTATATATATATATTTACTTTGCATAAACAAATCAAAGGTAATAAAAATTAAAAAAGAAACAGCTAACTGGGGAAAAAATCTTTGCAACAATTTTTCTCTAATAAAGATCTTATATTCAAGATATATAAGTACCTGATTCAAATTTATGTCTAAGAGGCAGTCTCCCAATAGACAAATGGTCAAAGGATATGAACAAGCAGTTTTCAAAGGAAGAAATCCATGCTATCAACAATCATATTTTTAAGTGTTCCAAATCACTAATAATTAGAGAAATTCACATTAAAGTGCTTTTCAGTCTCCAATTCACTTATCAGACTGGCAAAAATAACAAATGTAAGGAGGACCATGGGAAAACAGGTACATTAATGCATTGTTGATAGAACTGTACATTGTGAATTTTGGCCAGTCATTTTGGAAAGCAATTTGGAACTATATCCCTGTGGATCACAAACTGAGCACAACTCCATCCATCTTGGTGAAGTGAGCACAACTCCCTCCATTTTGTGTTAAGCATTAGCTCACCAATTAAAGGTGGTCCTTGCCATGCTCCCCACCCTAATGACCCTTCCACAAGAACGTCTTATGTGGTAACATCTTTTTAACATCTTAAAAGCTTTCCAGATTTCAGGAATCAACTTGGTCATTCAGATTAAAGTATTTTATCCAATCAGCTCTTACAACATCCCCTTCCTAATCTCCTTTTCCCTGAAGCCTTCTCCTTCCTTTGTGGTTTGAGTATATGTAAGGCCCATGTAAACTCACTTTGTGGGGTCTGTGCCCATGTGTGGGGCTTCCTTGCTGGAAGACCTGATAAACATCAGAACAAGTTTGATAATCTGAGATCTTGTTATCACCCACACCCCAAGAGTTACCAAACTCCACACCCTTTGACCCAACCATATCACTGACAAGTCTATGCTCTTCCTCCCCCCCAAGAAATCAAAGGAAAAAGAACTATATGTACAAAAATATTTATAGCAGTGCTTTTGGTGGTAGCCTCAAACTGGAAGCTATTAGAGAATAATTAAACAAGTTGTGGTATTTGAATGCAATAGGATATTATTGTGCTATAAAACAATTTCAGAGGAAACTGGGAGGCCCTCTATGAACTGATGCAGAGAGAAGTGAGTAAAGCAGAACTAGGAGAACACCTGTGCAATGATAATGTCAAAGAGAAAAACAACTTT